ACAGGAAAATCTGCACATAATAACAAAGATAGCAACTATCTGGCAAATCTGCATCACAAGGAAGAAAAATACTATGATTAAACATAATAAGACTTCACTTGAAATGCAAAATACTCAGGAAAAAATCCTGCCAACTCGCACAAGGACCAGCAAAGAGGAAGTAGCTGACTATGCAGCAAAGCCCATCGTGTAGGGAAAGCATAACAGCAGAGAACCAGATGCTACTACACAGCCTTTGCCATTGCGCTGAAGTGATTTCTATTGCTTGTTTCTGAAGTGCATGACCATCAGCCCTTCTAGCTTTGCTCTCAGTGCTTCTTGAATTCTGAGCCATAACAAGTACCTATCGCCCAAAGCATTGCTATCCTTTCCTTATAGCATCTGTGAGCTGCTAACACTGCTGGCTCAAGCAAGTTCAGCCAGTAATCATTCCTAACATTTTCCAGCACTGTACTCCTTCCACAGCTGAACTCTAGGTAATAGCAGGACTGAGATTATCTCAACAAGAGAGGAAAAGCAGAGAGCTTGCAGTGCCACTTAATGGTTCCCTCCCTGAAACTATAAGCACTGAACACAGTCTTGTTACAGCTGGGGGCTCCCTTTATCCCACTACATAAATGAAATCTTTCATACCGAAAGATCTTCACGCAATCTAAGATTTCACCTATTAAAGTAACACATTGCTATCATAAACATGAACTCCCAAGTAATAGAAAGCAGTTCTGACGTATAAACTCTTGAATGTCTTGGCATTTAGAGTTAGTTTTGAACCCTCTCTAACCCTTCAGTTACAGCCTGCGCTACACAGCTTTAAACTTGACTTTCCACTTTCAGCAGTCATTTGCATGTATGTCTCTTCAAAGAATGGTATTTGCAACTGTGTGTTGTAATGAGAAGCTAATTAACACAAATATGGTTATTAGCAAGTTACAGACATTTACAAGACAAAAACTCCAGACCAAAGCCTACGGTTTACTGCGTCACAGGGAGAAAGAATCTCAAGGATGGACTAATAGCAACCACTAACTACATCACCATGGGCAAATCGCCAACACTGCAACTCTGTTTCCCCTTCTGCAGTGGGATTGTAAAACTCATTTACTTTGCCAGGTAGTTCTCCAGCTTAATTAAATCATTACCTTTAAATTAAAGGCATTACAGAAATGCCAGGAAGTAGCACCTGAATTAGAAGGTGGGGATGACACTGTAATGAAGCAAGACTATTTTCACCATCAACAGCAGGCGCAGTAAAAGGTCATTCACAGCATAATTGTGAAACCACATTCCAAGCTTCTGAAGGTAAGATGACTTTTCCCAAACCTTCATTAAGGAAGAGGATACATGCCAGCATCACCAGATGCTGTAGTGTCACAGGTGATCTACAGTGATTTCATTACTGCTAATCTTCCCTTTTCCTTGTTCTTTGTTTTCTAATAGCAGCAAAATATCACAGCTCTTGAAAGAATACTTTCCACAGGCAACCATTTTCAGTATGATCAAAGACCTATTAAGAAAATTGCAGAGGAATATTTCCCTTCAAGTCAGTAATGCTCAGCACAGAGTTTTCAATCTATCCTTCATAAGAGACACAGTAGAGGCACTCCCACTTTTCGTCTGGGAGAGCTGCTCCCAGATATCACTGTACTTTAACATCTGCCATGCACAACCCTATTTTCAACCCTATGCAAACACTGGGGCATTGCTGGAAGATGCCCTGCTACTGCTCAGGCTTTTTGTTTTGAGGGTTGCAGAAGAAACTTATCCTTAAACCATAGGAAACAGCCAGTCGGCAGCAGAAGCCCAGTTTCATTGGGTATTCTCAGCAGAGCTGTGTCTCGGTGTAAGGCACAAAGCTGAATATGTCCATATCCCAAATTGCACTCCAGCTCTGTCACAGAACGCCCCAGATACTAAAAGGCACATCTCATCCTAAAACTGTTCCATCCGTAACGGGAAGTCATCGAAATCAAAACTAGGAAAACAGGTGCCTCTTTTCTTTGTTATACTTGAAAAAGACGCCCTCAAAAACCCATTACATTCCATCTCTGTATTTAGAACGAGAGTGTAAACAGCAAAAACACCCTTCTGCTCCTTATTGCTGAAAGGTGAGCAGGGAGACACACTCACATAGGAAAGGTCAGCCTGAAGAATGCTTTCTATGCTCTGAGATCTCTCTGCATTGACTGGATGCATGCTACGTAACTTGTTTGGTTAGAAAATAGAGGAAGATGCTCTGAAAACTACATTTGCAACAAATAACTCCATACATGCCCTTGTTCCTATTGATAAATATAAATTTGCTTTAAAAATGTGCGTCTGTGATCAGAACAATCAAAACAGCTGGAAAGGAATTTCTTCATTAAGTCAGAAGGTGCACTTGTAGCATTGTGCCCACACAGCCCCATTCTCCAGCTTCTGTAACGCCTGTTTGCCAGCTGCCTGCTTTGCAGTCCCCTGGCTCCCGCATTTGGCTAAATTTGACAGCTGGAAGAAGTCCCAAAAGCTCTCAACACTTCTCTTCATATAAAAAAGAAGAAAGGAAAAAGCTGTGTCCAGGTGAGACTCATAGACAGGCCAAGAGACAGGTTAGTGATAAAGACCACCACCTCGTGGCCTCAGAGAAGCCGTGCCAGGGATCAGCCTGGACACACCGACCCTCAGGGCCCAGTTTCCATCAGTACTGCTGCTCCCTGGAACGCGGTGCAGACAGAGCCAGAACCAGGAATTCGCATTACTTCTCACAGCAGTTTGCTGGCCTTCGTTAAATCCTAACTTCTCATGCTACTTCCCCTCCATAATGAGGCTAGTGTTAAACTGCCTTATTATGTTGCTGCAACAATTCATATTTGCAAAGTACTTTGAAGGTCTGAAGAGCTGTATTCACTAATTATTACCTGTCTTGAGACACAAACTGAATATTCAAAGCGCTGGCCTGATTCATATGCAAATACACGTCACATAAGCATGCGGTATGCACTGAGACTCAAAAATAATAGCAAAGATGGCTTTTAAAGAAGAGTTTGTTCTAAAGTCAGTTTTCAGTACAAAAAAAATACATGATTCTTATTACCACAATTCTTCCCTTAGCTTGAATTTAAATTATTCCTTGTTGTTTAGATGAACACTCTATAAAACATCTGTTTGAGAAAATAAACACCAGCCAGCACAAGACAAAAAGATGAGGCAAAATGATCCTGTCCCTAAAGGAAAGTATGATGCTTCAGAACTTAAACCTTTGCTATCGAGCTGAAAGCTAGCCAGCAAGTTCCCCACAGCAGCTGATGGGCAGTGCAGAGCCAGAGCTCGTGCTAAAAGTACCGGCAATCGGAGCACTGGTAATGCAGCATCACAGCAGGCAGGTGCCTTTATCCTCTGCTCGGTCAGACACTTTGCAGCCTTCCCACAAATCAGCATGCTTCTCCCATCCCTTGCGAGCACATCTCATGCATTGATGACAAACGAAAGCAAGATGAGAAAGCCATTGCTGCAAGTGCTATAACAAATAGACTGCTTATGTGTTTTTTACAATCCTTACTGTGTTCACCTATGTGTGAGAAGGAACAGCTTCCAGAAAAGGAAAACTTTCCACAAGTTAAAGGAAAATGGTGCTTTGCAGACAACCTGCATACTAAACAGACTCCTATTTGAGGGTAAAAGAGCAAACTACAATTTCCTTCAGTAATAACAGAGTGATGTTGCATCTTCATCCTCCTGCATCACACTGAGCCAGTACTCAGTACCTCCCAACTGGGCCTTCACATTTCCTGAAGGACTGAACCATAATAAAAAGCCACAACAGCAGGCAGGTAAATTTTCATTCTAATCCTCTCCACCTCCCTACCCCAAACAAAACCAAACCACTCTGGCCAACATATTGTGACAACAATGCCAAGATGCATCCCATGCACACTATTACTGCCCTACAAACATACATTATTTTAATGCAGCATAAACAAATACTCTCATTTGTTTAACACCACATCGAGCTCCAGCGATTAAAACGTGTATAATGCACAGAGCAACGTTCACACACGTGCTTTTTATAAGCTCTGAAGATAAAATTATCAGTATTGCCACACACAGAATATGCATTATTTTTTAATTACATGAAACAGCTGAACAACACCGAGCCTCCCTCATTACAGAATCACAGAATGGCCAGGGTTGGAAGGGACCTCAAGGATCATGAATCTCCAACCCCCTGCCACATACAAGGCCATCAACCTCCACATTCAATACCAGCCCAGGCTGCCCAGGGCCCCATCCAACCTGGCCTTGAACACCTCCAGGGACGGGGGCATCCACAGCATCTCTTGCAGCTGTTCCAGCACCTCACCACTCTCATAGTATAGAGCTTCCCCCTGACATCCAACCTCAATCTTCCCTTTCTCGACTTAAAACCATTTCCCCTCGACCTGCGGTTCTTTCAAAGAGTTGATTCCCCCTGTCTCTAGGCTCCCTTTAGGTACTGCAAAGCTGCAATGAGGTCACCCCGCAGCCTTCTTTTCTTCTTCTTACAAATCAGCACAACTTCGGTTCTCATTTTCCTCCAACAGGCGGGGAATACCGGCACTGCGAGCATCCTAAGGCGCGCTGTCTCAGAGCCGTAGAGCACTGAGTCTGAAGGAAGGAGGGCAGGGAGCTCCTGAAGGACAGGCAGCCCGGCTTCCCGCAGACACAATACCGCGCACACCATCTCCCGTCGGGCTGCGGATGGCGCTGACCCGGCGGCAGCTGCACCTGTCAGCGCCGCGCACACCGAGGATCGATACCGGCGTCCCTCAGCGCCGCTGCCGCCCGACCGCACCGCCCGGACGAACAAAGGGCTCCTCTTCGGGTCGGCGTTAAAATTCACGCTAACTAGAGAACAATACCGCCCGCACCTCCACACCCCCGCCCGGGCACGGCGAACCGCTGCGGCGCTGCCCCGCCAACCTCCGGGCCGCCCCGCTCGCCTGCGGAGCCCCGGGGCGGCTCGGCGAGGGGCGCGGAGGCCTCACCTGCCACCGTGTACCGGTCCAGGTAGTTGAGCACGTTGCCCACGCTGAGGATGCCGGCGGCCGCCACCCGGGCCCGGCCGAGGCTGGGTGCCTTGCGGCGGACGATCGGGCGCTCCGGGCGTTTGCCGACCGCCGGCGGGTTCATCCTGCCCGATAGGGTCTGCACTTCTCCCTCGGCGCCCCGACCGCAGCAGCCCCGTTCGCCGTCCTCTTCCTCCTCTTCGTCCCCGGCTCGGAGCCGCCCGCCGCAGCCCGGGCTGCTGCCGGAGGAGCCGTCGCTTTCCAGACACATCATGGGCCGCTAGCGGGAGGCGACCGCGCCGCGCGGTGACCGCCTCAGCGCTGCATCCCGCCGCCGCCTCGGCCGCCTGCCCGCGGGACCGGCCGCGTCGCCGCCGCCTCCTCTGACAGCTGGGCGGGCGGGGCGGGGTGCTGAGAGGCGGGGTTACGCGCCGGTCACGCCCACCCCGCCCCGTTGTCCCCCGTGCTCACGGCGGCGCGCGCCCCGCTCCCGCAGCCGCCCCCCAACGGCTGCCCCGCGAGCTTCCCGCGCTTTTCGCTTCCCGCCCTCTCCCCTGAGGGGCGTTCTGTTCTCCTCAGCCCGCCTGAGGACGGCACCTGCCTCCGTCCCCGCGGGCGGCGGGGAAGCGCTCGAGCCAGTTTGAGTCGCTCTGCTTTGGGCCTTAATATTCAGTGCCCTTGATGTTAATCTTCAGCGCTACGCGGTCATTCATGAAAAATCGACATTGCCGGATCGCGGGACTCCAAGCAATACCAGTACCCGATAAACTTGGTACACTCGATAATAAACTCCACAAAGGCAAGCTAGGTCCACCCTCAGATCAGCTCGTAGCCACAAATCCAGCTCTCGCGCCGTGCCAGCTCACAGCTGGCTGTGCAGGGCTGCGCAGGACGGGACGGTGTTCTCTGATGTTCTGGAATGCGCTGCCGACCTCACAGCTTCCTGCTCAGCCCCGGCTGATTTTCCTATTGCACAGAAGTGGCTTCAGGAACAACACCCGTCTTCAAAGGAAGTAAAATAGCTCCAAAATTCCCCATGGTGGAAAGGGCTTCGCCCTGCTCCCTATAAAGTTCCACCTCAGAAGAAGGACCAAGAGACATTCTGTTTTAAAAAGAGGAGCCTTCAAAGAGACAAAAGTGTTCATAACCAGAGCGGCTCCAGCCTGACATATCCATGCTAAGGCTGCAAAAGTGCTCCAAAATAATAATAAAATGACAGCTAAGGGTTCACATGCACCTGCCGGCAGCGTTGTGTCACGATTTCGGAATTCTTACCTACAAAACTGTATCTGGGATACATATTTAAACAAAACCTGACACCTACCTGGGAACAAACCGCATTGCTCAGGCGTTGCTCATAGCCTGCTTTGTCACACGCTGCTCAGAGCACAAGCAGCCCCAGCCCTGGCCAGGCACTGATGACATCAGGGCTGGGCTGTGCCACCAACCTGGTGAGATATGGCAGGAGGAAACCCAGCAGGTGAAAAGGGCACTTTTAGTCAGCGTGATTTTGATTGCTGCTTGGGCAACGTGCTGGGAAGGAGAGGAGCCAACATCACTTCTGATGACACGTGATACTCCCAGCAAGTAAGTGAGAATCGGTCTGCATAGATGCTATAGGGAACTGAAATGGAGCAGAGGAGGCTCAGAGAAGACCTTTTCGCTTTCTACAGCTGCCTGAAAGGAGGCTGTGGAGGGTGTGGGTCAGCCTCTGCTCCCAGGTAACAGCAATAGGATGAGAGATGATGGCCTCGAGTTGCACTAAGGGAGATTCAGATTGGATATCAGGAACAATTTCTTCTCTGAAAGAGTGGTGAAATAGTGGCTCAGGCTGCCCAGAGAGGTGATGGAGTCACTGTCCCTAGAGATGTTCAAGACATGTGGAGTTGTGGCACTGAGGGACGTGGCAGTGGTATGGTGGGGATTCGCCGATGGTTGGACTAGAGGATATTAGAGATCTTCTCCAACCTTTACGATCCTATGATGTCAGTAATGGAAACAGATTCGCTTGCGTTAATACAGGATGTTCCAGTTTATGTCTGAATCTGAGGAATCTTTTTAGTTGGTTTTGGGGTTTTTTTTGTTGTTTTTTTTTTTAAGCTGTTAAAAGCATGTGCAGATCAGATTTGACTGACTGCATGGTGAAGGTTATACTGAAAAAACTGTTTCTTCACATTCCCACTAATTCCAGAATTCACGTAGTGTACAATAATGTGGTCAAGTGATAGTGCTCGCCTAGAATATCCCATAGTCCAAAAGGAGAAAATCAGGGTATAATTGAAAACAATAAAATAAAATCAGGGGTGAAATGGCTTTAGCAAGACCGCAGATCTTGGCCAGCTGTGAAGGCAAAATCAATGGGTTAAGGCAGACAGGCAGTGAACACAGCTGAACTGAAGGATGAAGGTTTCAGATATTAGGAAAAAGTTATCCAAAAGAGTGGCCAGGCGCTGGCATAGGCTGCCCAGGGAGGTGATAGCATCATTGCCCCTGGAGATGTTCAAGTAACGTGGAGGTGTGATACTAAGGGCCATGGCTTAGTGGGCAATGCTGGTGGTAGGTAGACTGTTGGACTAGGTGGTCTTAGAGGTCTTTTCCAACTCAAATGATTCTATGACTCAAAGAACTCCTCAGAATCCCTCACCTATGTATTGTCTGCTCCAAAGTCCGTTCCACTCTTTGCTCACTGCTTGGGCTGCCCATGGGCATTGCAGAGCCCAATCTCCAGTCTTGTGTTGCAGCAAACATTGTGTTCGGAAGATGTTAATGAGATTAACAGGTAAGGCAAAATTAAGGAGCTTAGTTTAATGCATCAAATGCTCCCCTGGAAAGCAGTTATATTTAGGAAAGACGGCCATCAAATATGGAGCAAAGCTGGATGGAGCTGAAGTGGCTTATAAGTGTATCCCTTCAATTCAGACACAGAGAGGAGCTTCAGGTCAGGACAGAGCACAAAGAAGGAGGCGCTGGTTAGGCTGTTACTTCCATACAGCCAACCGTAGCACCTTCAACTCTACATGGAAACTCACGAACAGAGCAGAGCAGATGCCAGTGCATCCATATCACGGGACTTATGTGAAGGAAAAACAGAGGGAATTGGAAAAATTGTGATGGAATTGGCATTAGTGGCAAGATGATTCATATTCCTGAACTGCTAAAATCACTGGTTACTGCCTCTCCAGAGGAACAGAGTATATTCTAACTTAAATACACTACTGGTATTTTTTGCTGTTACAGGTTGTTGAGAGGGGATTTGATTACAGAGTGCAAGTTCTGTCACGGGGAGAAAAATGCCAGCACTAAGGGCTCTAATCAAGTGGAGAAAGGCATAGTAAAAATCAGAACAATGGCTGAAAGCTGGAGTTAGAAAAATCCTAATGAATTGTCTGGTTCACATTTGTTACTGAATGATTATACCCTGGAACAAAATGCTAAAGAAGGGTGTATTCTCCACCCCTTCATGGCATTGCATTCATGTTGATTGCCTTTCTATGAAGTACATTATTGAACTCAAATATGAGCTATTGCAATCCACACCAAAAGCTGTCTGTGATTTAGTGATATAAGGAGGTCAGGCTGGATGGGTTCAAGTCTGAACCCTGAAGACAGAAATTCTTACACTGTTAGCCAAGCACTCATTTTCAGCACCCACTTCAGTCTTTGGGTAGATCTGAGCTTAGCCCCAAAGAAAAGACATTACATCAACCAGATTGCTAGACAGTGGTGCTCTCATAGCCCTGATCACAGAGATGAACAGCACCCCCCCTTGAGCGTGTCCCGAAAAGCCCCCCATGCCCGAATTCGCAGTTGTCTTTTCCTCATGGTCTCAAACACAGGTTTGCTGTCTGGATGAAATCACATGAAGCCACTCGCATGTCCTTAACCATTCTCTGCTGGCTGATACCTGCAGACATATTTCTGAGACTTCAGAAAGGCAAAGAACAAACTCACTTGTTAGCAGCCCTGCTCTTTACTAGTGCAGTCAACAATGTTTATCCCTTCAGAGATTATTTTCTTCCTTCCATTATTTTGATAGTATTTTAAAAGCCTTAAAATATTTATTTTACTTTATCCAATCTGCACTTACTGATCTTTCTCCATCTCAGAGTTTTAGAGCTGGTCAGTATGAGCAGCGGCACTTGTTTGACAGCAGCTATATTTTATCCTTGAGGAAACAAAACCACACTGCCAGCACACAAACATTACATCTACAGCGATGTAGACAGCTAGCTGGTCCATGGGCCAGACCTGGTGCACAGGAACTTTATGATCAGACTGCTACTTTCTCTCATTAAGATCCTCTGGTGTTAGGCATCAGCAGCTGCCTTATTCCCCACCCCTTATTTTGGAAATGGCAAGAAGTGATCAAAAGAAAATGCCTTTCTATCCCTAAACTCTGCTTACTTGGAATCCAGATTCCCTCTTAATTTAATAAAAATCTTGGGAAAGTCACTTTTTTTGTACTTTAAGGTCACAACAATCTCTTTAATACACAACTGTCAAAGGGCTGGAGTCTCCCTAAAGTAAATCTCTGCAAAAACTTACACCGGCCTACCCTCATCAGGAGCAGTTGCTGCCTGCAATAACCTAATATATTAGACCACAAGGAAAATGATTATGTCTCAGATTTTGTCTTTTCCTCATGTTTTGCTAAATCTGGTTTGAAGTCAAGACTCAAGCACAAGGACATGCTCAATATCTCTTATTTAAGAAAAATAAAGCACGGAACACTGAACTGCAGGATCACAGACCCCAGATTTCAGATATAAACATCAAACAGACCAAAGATTATGAGAATTTGCATCAAAAGGTAATTGTCCAGGTTGCAGGAGCACAACACAAGACAATGGCAGAACTCTGCAGCTCTATCCATTTTTGGACATTGAGCAGATTGCAACTCTGCAAGAATAAAAATAACAACCCTGCAATTACCTACATTCCTGTTATGTCCTGGCTTCTATTTTCTTCATTATCTCCTTAGCTAAATTGTCCTGTTACTAGCAAGCGATCCCGGACAGCTGCATTTACAAGCCTCATCCAGCTCAGAAGTTTCTTGTGCTGTCCTGCTGAGAATCAAACAAGTCTTCCAGTCCAGCTAAGAGGGTTTACACGTGAGCCTGAATCTCCATGCTGCCTGGCAGTCACTCTTTGAATCAGGCTACCTCAACTACCTACGGAGACCAGCCTCCTAATTTAGTTGAGATGTGTGTTCAGTGTTTGGTGATGTGAATACCACCCAGGTTAGCAACTTTTTTCTCCACACTCACACATGATGTGTCCCACTGAGGAGAGCTTTGGGCACCTGGGCACTGAAACCTGTTTGAGCAGTGTGCCATGTTCACAGAGCAACACAGCCT